GTAGCAGCTACAGCCCTTCTAACCAAAGAAAGTAGAAAAACCACCTTTCAGGGAGACCTAATTATTAACACTCCCCATCAAGTTAGAACAATCTTAAACCAGAAGGTGGGTAGATGGCTGACAGATTCCAGGATCCTAAAGTATGAGGATAGCTTGCTAGAAAAGGATGACCTAACTTTAACTGCTGATGAGGCCCTAAATCCAGTCACCTTCTTGTCAGGAAGGCAGGAGGGAGGAGCCCCCAAACATAGATGTTTAGATATTATTGAATATCAAACTCCTATCCAGACCGGGTTCCACTTCTTTGTGGATGGATTCTCTCGGGTAATGGAGGAGAAAAAGGCATAATGGATATTCTATAATAGACAGGAAAGCCATGTCTATAATAGAATCAGGCCAACTCCCTAACAATTGGTCAGCACAGACTTGCAAATGGCTTGCTCTAAATCAGGCCTTAAAACACTTAAAGGACAAAGAAGGGACCATATATACTGATTCAAAATATGCATTTGGTGTGATCCACACCTTTGGAAAAATCTGGATGAAACAGGGCTTAATCAAGAGCAAGGGCCAAGACTTGGTACATGGAGAATTAACTCAACAAATATTAGCCTAAAACTACATGAAGAAATAGCCATAGTCCATGTGCCAGGTCACCACAAGAGGGTAAACTCTGAGACTCATGGAAATTATTTTACAGATGAGACAACAAAACAGGCTGCTCTCACCACTGAGGCCCCAGTCTTTTGTCTCATTCCATATCTCCCTGCTCCTCACATCACCTCTATCTTTACCCCCTCTGAGGAAGAACAACTAAAAAAACTTGGGCCAGTCAGGACTGAGCAGGGAAAATGGGTTCTCCCTGATGGGAGGGAAATGATCTGAAAGCCCCTAATGAGAGGACTCCTTAGTCTCCATCATGGGAGCCACTGGGAACCCCAAGCCATGTGTGATGCAGTTTTGCAAGCCTATGGGTGTATAGGGATCTATACACTAGCCAAACAAGTATCAGAAAGATGTCTCAGGTTATTACTAGAAAACATAATCCCAAGGTTTGGGGTTATAGAAAATATAGACTCAGACAATGGAAGTCATTTCACTGCCAATGTCCTTAAGGGATTTATGATGGCTCTAGAGATCAAACGGGAATATCATGCTCCCTGGCATCCACCTAGAGCTGAAAGAATGAGTCAGACTCTTAAAAACCAACTCACTAAATTAGTTTTAGAGACCAGATTATCTTAGACTAAATGTCTTCCCGTAGTGCTACTCAGAATTAGGACAGCCCCTCGGAAGGACATTGGCCTCTCCCCCTATGAAATGCCTTATGGGCTTTCTTACCTTAGCTCTGTTACTGATGTAACTTACTTTGAAACCAAAGACTATTTCCTCAAAAATTATATACTTGTATTGCCCTCTACTTTACTTTGTCTTAGGAAAAAAGGATTGTTAGCACGGGCTCCTCCACTTGACTTTCCTGTTCACCCACACCAGCCTGGCAATTATGTGCTAATCAAGACCTGGAAAAAAATAAGCTTGAGCCAGCTTAGAACGGACCCTTCCTGGTCCTGCTGACCATGGAGACAGCAGTCCAGACCACAGAGCGGGGATACACTCATTACACACAGGTAAAGACGGTGCCCTCACCTGACCAGAAGGAACAATGGACCATGCTCTCACATCCAGGCAACACCAAAGTGACTTTAAAAAGACTATAGTTAAAATATTCTTTCTCATTCATTTGGGAAATGGCATGCTTATTATTAATGTAACTCAGAGTACTTTTCCCTTAACTGTTGAATTTTATGCATACCAGATCCTTCCTTATGGAGGCCTTATGTCCCAACTCCAGATCCAAGGATACTCCTTTTATATTTGCCCCATCCGGGGAACCACAAGGAAGCCTGGTATCTGTCCAGAGTGGATGGATGTGGGGTGAAACACTGGTATAAAGGATACACTTCTCCCTTTTATGACAATCCTAAGGGCTGGACCAGACCCCAGGGCACTGGAAAGACTCCAATTTTTACCATCTAGAACAATCAACAGTCTTTTAACAGACTACAGTCAAAATTACAGCTGTTTCAGACATATTCCTCTTCTACTAAAGATAAACAATGTAATCCACTTAGATTAGTCACAGAAAACCCTTGAAGTATGACACAGAACCATCTATATTTTGTAGATATGGATTGAGACAGATGTCTCAGGGACAGACCTGTTAGGTACCTTTAAGCTCCATCTAGCTCCCAACCCCTCTTAGGTGACACCCAGTTCTACCTCCACTCCAATGTTACCTACATTTTTGTACAACAATCGAACTCAGGTAGCTGTAGTAGAAGTCAAGGACCTAAGACAAACTATGGCTATTGAAATTGGGTACAGGAATACAAATGCTTGGATAAATGGATAAAATGCTGTCCACACATTAAATGAGAGAAATTGCTAAGTTTGTACTACTGGGAGGCCAAAGTCTCAGGTGGTCCCGTTTCCATTAGGATGGTCCCCAGATCCAGGTGGATTGTATTGCATGTTGGCTCTGTTTTAGGATGCCAAAGCTTGGGGCAATGAATCCTGCTGGATGCTATCACTACTGTTCCCAGAGGTCAGAGGTCCTGCAGGTCAGCCCCCAAGGACTATTAGACCACCCACCCTAGACATCAACTATACCTCCTGTCTCACCAGACAGGGGGAATGACTGACAAATGTGGGAAACCTGATGGGATGCAGTGAAAACCAGTCCTTCAACAGCCTCACAAACCAGTCCACACTCTTGGTGGGCAGAGCCGATGTCTGTGGTACTGTGGGGGACCTTTACTTGAGATTCTCCCAGGTAACTGGAAAGACACCTGTGCTTTGGTGCAGTTGGCAATCACTTTCACCCTAGCATTTAGATCCCCAGCCCATGCCCAACACCTAGGAAAAGGAGAGACATAGGCATAGACACTGCAGCCAACCTCAGAGGCTCCTTTGGTCCCCATGCTTACATTGATGCCATTGGGATTCCTAGAGGGTGCCAAACGAATTTAAAGCCAGAAACCAAACTGAAGCAGGATTTGCATCAGTATTCTTCTGGTGGCCCACCATAAATAAAAATGTCAATTGGATTAATTATAGTTATTATAACCAACAAAAGTTTGCTAACTGTACCAGAGATGCCATCAAAGGAATAGCAGAGCAACTAGAACCAACTAGCCAGATGGCTTGGGAGAACAGGCTAGCATTAGACATGATGTTGCCCAAAAAGGGAGGGGTTTGCATACCAAATAATACAGAACTTGATGGAACTATTACTAAGGCCCTACAGGGATTAACGTCCCTATCTAACAAGCTAGCTGAAAACTCAGATATAAATGATACCTTCACTGACTTAATGGAAATTGGGTTGGGAGATGGAAGGGCTGGATGACCTCAATCTCAACCTCCTTGATCATAGTGGCTAGAGTTTTAATTTTAGCAGGATGCTGTATAATTCCTTGTGTCTGAGGACTAATACAGCGGTTAATTGAGACAACATTCACTAACAATCACCCCGCCCTACCAAAATAACTTGTTTCCATTAGAAACGCAGGGACATGAGAACCATCAGCTCCTAAATGAGTTTGAAGGAAAGAATTTAAATTAAAAGAGGGGAAATTGTAAGAAAAATGACCTTTGCTATCAAAGTATTTGCTACCCTCTTAGATTACTTAAAAATTCCTCAGGTCACCTTCTTAGGTAACTTGCATGTTTAAAGGGTCCTTGCTTCTTCCAGGTTCCTGTACAACTCCATTGCCCACCAAACTGCATGCCCTAACCCATCCCCCAAGCCTTTTAGCCAATCAGGAAAGACTGTGAACCTTTGACCTGCACAAATACCAGATGAGTGGCAGGTACAACTGCATCAGGGATGTAAGGAGGAGCCACTGTCAGTCATTTTGTGCTTGCCTGTTTGGTGAGGTGGAGTAAGCACATGCTTGCCCCTCTTGATCAAGAGAAAATGGCCTTGGCAAGATTTTCTGTCTCTTCTGTGTCTATTTTCAGCACCAGAGGGTTATCAATTCCAACAGTGGGGAGGTGGAGAGATGGTAGGGGTGAGCTAACCAATGTACAATATAAGCCTATTTGAAATTGTCACAATGAATCCCCCCTGGACAACAAATATGTCCTAATCAAAAACAAAACAAAACAAAACTGAGGGAATGAACTAAGACAACAAACAAAAAATATTTTTTAAAAAAATGAATTCTTTATGTAATCCCTGCTCTCAGGAGGCTGGGAGGGAGGAGCTGAACTACATAGTGAGATGCTGTCTAAAAAAACTTAAAAAAAAAATCATTGTCTTCTTCTTCTTAGATTGGGGAGAACAGGCAGTTTGAACTTCACACACACACACCCGAACACCCCCCCACCCCCCCCACCCCTTCCCCCCCACCCCTGCTACAAAAAGGGGAGGCGGAAGGAGAAAGAGGCGGGCACTCTCCTAGGCCATGGGGACCTAGGAGACACCTTGCTAGGTGATAGTCATACCCTCCCCACACACTGGCCAAGGGCCTAGCGCGCACTTGATCCATCCCACTTCAACTGCCAAACAGCCTGCGGGGAGGCGCTGGTGAGGGGCCCTGACCCCGTAAGCCGCTTCCCGGTGCCTCCCCAGATGCACACCCGGGCCACGTGGGGGCTCGCGGGCAAAGCAGGACCTGGGCCTCTGGTCTGCAGGAGGCCGAGGCAGGTCCCCAGCGGGCCGGCCAGGGGAAGCCAACGCCCATCCCCCTCCCCCACCCCACAGGACCGCAGCCCTCTGGGGAGCGCTCGCCTCCGCGGAGGCCCTCCTCTACACGGACTAGATTCTTCGCACTTAGCAACTGTGAATAACAAGGGTCCCAAAGCCATTCGATTCCTCAGCAAAAACCCAAACAAGGCCAGGCCGCAGCCAGCCTGGGACTTCCTGGGCCTTCCGGGTCCTCGTGGACGCGTCTGGGTGCCACCCCTTCCGCGGGCCCGCGCCCCAGCGCACTCACCGGGCTCCTGAGAGCCGCCAGGGGCCAGCAACACGGCGCTCAACGCGGACGCCGCCAGCAGCAGCGCGGCCAGCGCCCGGCCTGCGCCCCGCGATGCACTCATGCCTCCCGCCGCCGGCCGCGGACGCCCGGGCAAAGCCTGCTCAGCCGCCGCTCGCCGGCCGCAGCGCTCCTCCGCCCCGCGCCGTGAGGTTTTGGCTGACGGCCCCGCGCTCGTGGTAGCCTCCCCCTCCATAAAGTCACGGCCTCCCCATGAGTCACCCGCGGGGGGCGGGAAAGCCAGGTGGAGGGCGCTGCGGCCGGCGGCCACCCGTCCCGCCGGGAAAAAGCGCCGCCAGCCGAGAGGGGCGGGGATTGGCAGGGCGCAGCAGGCGCTCGGCCCTAACGCCAAAGTTCTATGTGTTTTGTAGGGCGAGAGGCACCCAGAAGAGAAACCTTTGCTCCTCAGTCCATCACCACCTCCCAGTCATTCATCAAATAGGTGTTAGAGTCCTCTGTTGTAGAAAATGTCTTAGTAAAAAAGACTGTGCAGTCCCCCACCCCAGAGGCGCTACTTGCCAAAATGCCTTAAAAGCATTCTTTGAAAACCTGTTGCCATCTCTGATAAAGTTTAAAAAGCCAGAGTAGGAGGGAAGGAGACTCTTGGCTGTATAACTGGAGAAACTTTACACTTAAAAGCAGACAAGTACAATAGTGCTGGTAGCACAGTTGTTTGTAATTGCAAAACCTTGTAAACAAGCTCAATGAATCAGTGGGAAAACAAACAGATTGCAATACACCATACAACAGTGGAAATGATCTAGACTACCACATGAATGAATCTTAGAAATAAGGGGAAAATTCAGGTTGCAGAATAGCTGTGTAAGATAAAAGAGGCAAAACAATACTATGATTTGTGTGTCTGAATTATATGGTAATTTTTAAAGTTACAACAGAGTGATCGTGCTCTGTTAGGAGAAGGACAAGATGCTAAGGCAGCATTTGACAGAAGCACCTAAACTAGCCTGAAAAGGCTTCTAGGAGGCCTGACATTCCGGAGGGATGTTAGCCAGGGCAGGAGAAAGAGAGTTCTAAAATGGAAGTTTGTAGCTATCCATACACTGGAATTTTGCGGTGGTGAGGATCCTTGTTCCGCTTGGAAATCAAAGGCGGACTAGAGCAGCAAAGATCAGAAAAGTTTTATTTTCAGAGGAGAGAAAGGAAAGGCCACATGGGGTCATGCAGCGGGACCGGAAACCGGTGGTCCCCTGAGTCAGGTTGGAAGTCGGGTTTTATAGCTTTTTTATTGCCTGAAGGTGGAGATTTTGGCATGGATGGATGTCAAAGGATAGGTGTCGTTCTGGCGGGAATAGATGTTTCTTGGGAAGAAGGGGCGTTTTTCCCCCTGGCTAATTGACACCTTTGGGAATAAATACATGGGCCTCACGCAGCCCGCCCTTCACTATAGAAGCCTACATTAAAAAATCAGAGAAGGTCAGGTGCAGAGGTCCACAACTATATTCCCAGATAGTCAGGAGGTGATCAGTAAAAGGTTAGCAAGACCCCATCTGAGGCAACAAGCTGAGCATGATGGTGTGGCACCTATCATTCCAGCTATGCAGGAGGTATAAATAGGAAGGCTCATGGTCCAGGGAAAACTGGAAACTGTATCTGAAAAAAATAAATAACGCAAAAGGGCTGAGGCCTTAGTTCAGGTGGTAGAGTGCGTGCCTAGCAAATACAAATTTGAGTTCAAACACCAGCACCACCAAGAAAAACAAATGAAGAAATGAAGAAAGAAATTGAAGACACCAGCAGTTGGAAAGACCTCCAATGTCCATGGATCCACAGAATTCATGTTGTGAAAATTGCTATATTACTAAAAGTAATCTACAGTTCAACACATCCCCATCAAACTCTCAATTACATTCTTAGCAGAAAAAAACAAAAATCCTAACGTTCATATGGAAGCACAAAAGAACCCTAAAAAGCCAAAGCAATCCTAAGCAAAAAGAACAACGCCAGAGGTATCACAATACCTGGCTTCAAATTATACTACAGAGCTATAGTAACAAAAACAGCATGGTATTGGCACAAAAATAGATACATACACCAATGTAATTGAACAGTAGAAACTGCAATAAGCTCAGGCAGCTAGAGTCATCTGATTCTTAACAAAGGTGGCAAAAACAACATTGGGGGAAAGACAGCCTCTTCAACAAATGGTGGAAGGAAACTGGATATTCACATGTAAAAAATGAAACTAGATCCCTATCTGTTATTTTGTATAAAACTCAATTCCACATGGTTCAAATGATGTAATAATATAAGACCTGAAACTTTGATTCTACTAGAAGAAATCATAGGGAAAACACTTATATTGGTATAAGCAATGACTTTCTGAATAGGACTCCAATAGTTCAGGAAATAAAAGCAAGAATTGGCAAATGGGATTGCATCAAAGTAAAAAGCTTCTATACAACAAAGGAAACAATTATCAGAATAAAAGGACAGCCTACAGAATGGCAGAAAATCTGTGTTATCTATTCATTGGAGAATATCCAGAATATATAAAGAGATTTAAAAATTAAACAGCAAAAGACCAAATAATCCAATCAATAAATGGGCAAATGAATGTAATAGTTTTCAAAGAAGTGCAAATGGCCAATTAGCACATGAAAAGTGACAAGTCCTTAGCCATCATTTAAATGCAAATCAATGTGTCCTGAGACTCCGGTCTCACTCCAGTTCAGTGTGGTTATCACCTAGGAAACAAGCATCAACAAATTCTGGGGAGGATGCAGGGAAAAGGTAATCATTATTCACATTGGCAATCAGCTTCAGTGTCCATCAACAGATGAATGGATAAAGAAAATGTGGTATATATGCACTGTCGAGTATCATTCAACCAAAAATAATAATGCAATCATATCATTTGCAGGAAAGTGGATGGAACTGGAGATCATCATGTTAAGCATATTCACCAGTCTTTGAAAAATAAATACTGCTTGTTTTCTCTCAGGTGCAGAATCTAGATTAAAAAAAAAAATGACATGAGTTTAAAAGGGAGATTTTTTTTTGTGGAGGAACCCTCAAGCAGTGGGGGGCGGAGAATGAAGGGGAGGGGAAGAATTTGATGAAAGTTCATTGTATGCCTGTATGAAAATTTCATAATGAAACACATTTTTTAAAAATTAAAAGCAGAAAAAAAATGGCAAAGTATCTAAAGAAACTTTTCTCCCAGGAAGATACACAGAGTCAACAAACACATGAAAAGATGCTCAACACTATTAGTCACAAGAAAATGCAAATCAAAAGCACAGTGAGTCCTGGGGCAGATGTAGACCAATGGAATAAAATACAGAGCACAGAAATAAACCTCATCTAAATAGTAAAATAACCCACATAGATAGGATTTCCCTTTTCCATCTAACAATTACAAAAGGATAATATTTTTAAAAAAAAAAAAGGTGGTATTGGAAAAACTGAGTATCCACTTTTAAAAATGAAGCTGGGGCTGGCAGAATAGCTCAAGTGATAAAGTGCCTATCTAGCAAGCAAAAGGCCCTGAGTTCAAATTACTGCAAATTAATTAATTAATTAAAAATGAAGCTGTACCCCATTTTACACAGCATATAAAAATTCACTCAAATGTATCCAAGACTCACCTACACAACTAAAACTGTAAAAATCTTAGAATAAATAAATAAGAAAACTTCAGGGCTAATGCCTGGCATTATATGATTTCTTATATGATACCCAAAGCTCAGACAACAAACCATAAATTAGACTTCATCAACATTAAAACTTTAGGGTTGGGGTTGTATCTCAAGTAGTAGAGCACTTGCCAAATATGTGAGGCACTGGCCTTCAATCCCTAGTACCGCAAAAATGTTAAAATCATTTGTGCATCAAAATGCATTGTCAACAGTGGAAAGCTAACCCTTGAAGGAAATATTTGCAAATCACATCGGCAAGAAATTGATACACAGTGTATCTAAAAACTCCTATAATTCAACAACAATCAATTTTTAAGTAGGCAAAAAACTTCAACAGACATTTCTGCTGAGAAGATATATAACTACACATGAAAAGATGCTCAACATCACTGTTGACCAAGGAAGTATAAAGCAAAACCACAATGAGCTATCACCTCACACCCATTAGGATAGCTATTATCAAAGATAAAACATCACAAGTTTTGCTGGGGATGTGGAGAAATTGGAACTGTTGGGCCTGGGGGTTCAGAAGACAAAATGAGCCAGTGTCTCATCTCCATGAGAGCACTGTGAGCCCTACATCCTGTAAAGGGACATGTGGCTTCACAAGTCACCGCCCATGGAGATGCCTCAAAAATGCCACAAGGCCTTTTGCAGGACGGTGTATATGCTCCTGCAGAGATATGTTAAAAGACCACTCCACCCCTGACTCCTGACTCCCCTCCCCACACAAAGGACCAAATTTTTAAAACCCTCTATGTAAACAACAGGGAGCTACTGATTTTCCAGGCTCCCTGTCCATCACTAGGGGCAGCTTTTCCTTTTTCTCTAATAAATCCTACTTTTTGTGCTGACTTAGTTGTCTCATGAGTTAATTCTCTGCCTCACAAGACAATTCATTGGCCCATGAAGACAAGAACTCTCAGCACCAGTCCAAAACATTTTGGGCGACCACAAAGGGACACCTCTCCTGGATCAAAGTCAGTACAATTGAATGCCAAACAAGCAGGAGTTTGCCTAAGGTGTGACTGTGAGCCTCTGGCACCCTGTTGGATACTCCTGCTGGGGAAAACCCCCTGCTGAGGACTAGCCAAAAGCAGACTTCCCTGTGCCACTCCCCCAGTCTCTCTCTCTCTCTGTGTTCCTGTCTTCCTGAGGGATTTTCCTGTCACAGTATTGGACCAACAGCTCCTAGCCAACTTTAGCCTCACAGAAATTCTGGCTCTGGGGGTGATTTCTGCTCCCTCCCTATGAGTTGAGACTGAGCCCAGCGTTGATCCAGGTATGCCTTATTCTACGTTGGAGAAGGCCTATTTGGTTCTGGCACCTAGCATTCTTCTTCTTCCCCACCTGTTGGTATCCCCATTCTGCTGGAGGCAGCAACCCAAAAGTGGGGATTTTGTGTGGCTGACAGTGTTCCAGTACCACTTAATGGGAGTGACCTGAAACCACACCTAATTGTTAATCCCTCAAGCATGTGCCACATCTCTAGGCTCTGTTGCCCTCCCTCACCTAGGATGTCAGGTCGTGTCTTCTATCCTCACCAGATGTGGCAAACATTCTTCCTGGACCTTTGGGA